TGCTTATTAACGCATGCACGGGAGCTGGTAAATGTATTCCCATCATGTGTTTTGCCTCATACCCATTCTCTGTTTTTCTAGACCCAGCTTTGGAGATACTGGGGTTGTTTGTACTGCTGGGCTGGAATAGGTGGGACTGCCCTGGGCTGAAATCAGAGCCAGCAGAACAACTCTGAATCTCTACAGAGATCCCCACATCACACAGCATTTGGGAAACTCCGGGTTTGGCATCTGGGATCCTCCACTCAGTTCAGAGAATGGAAAACAAAAAAAGAAAATACAGATAAAACCAACCCTGAGTGCATCTTCAGGCGGAGGTGACCGTTCTGGTGCACCCCAGGATGACCCTGGCTTTAAATATTTGCCAGGTTGGGGAGCTATTTGTCCAGAGAATAATTCAGGTGCAAATATTTACCTTAGATAGAAACTTCCAAGGGGAGTTGGACTAGAGGATCTTTAAAGGTCTCTCCTAACTCTAAGGATTCTATGATTCTGTGACTCAGAGTAGGAAAAGATTTATGTTAAAATCCTTCAGGTTGGACACTGAAAACTTAAAAGTGGTTTTCTTTGGCCTTCCTTAAAATTAAACCCGCATTGTGGTCCAAGAAAACAGTCTTAATGACTTACACTGAAATGTCAGAATGATTTTAAGCAAGGTAAGAAAACTGTTGTGTTGCTAATCCCTGACCGGCTGATCTCAACAAACATGCTCCACAGGAGAACTGAGATATGTGCCCAGGCTTAGGAAAGCTGCACGGAACCAAGAGATGCTGAGGTCAGGTGGGGGACCTGGAACCTCAGAACTTTCAGAACAAAAATAGGATTTAGGACCTCGTGTTTTCACCGAGACAACAAAAGTGGATATAATTAACGCGCACTGTTAAACTCCGTTACTCTCCCAGGGCCTCAGCTATGCTTACAAGATCAACACACTGGAATAAGTTTGGCTAAAAAGGTGGGGAGCCACTTGACCACAAAGTCATTTACTCTACAGAAAAATGCATACTTTTGTTTCCTGTTAGTGTGACAGCAACTGATACAGTGGTGTTACCACAAACTGCCCCCAAAACACTGAAGTGTTCAGGCCCTGCTCCACTCACTGTGATTGACAAAGGAGAAGGGTAACTTAGCAGCAAACTATGCCTTATTTTTGACCTTTCCTTTAACCAAAAGATACCACAAGGTCTGTAGTGAAACACCTGGTTGAAGGAAGCCCATCCTGCCACACAGCACAACCAGCCAGGGTCCATCTCCACAAGGTGCTCCTACTCTCCTTTATGTGAAGTGGAAGCTCTGGCACCTGTGGGAGTGAGGGTCTATAAAGCTGGTGGAGGCTCGTTTGTGGTGTGGGGCTGTGCTTTGTTGGCAGTTATAATGAAGGTGGTGAGGAACACGAGCAAGCTGGAAGGCCTTTGCTCACAGGTTATGGGCCCAAGCTTATGGGAAGTAAGGAGACTAGAGGTGTGAACCTTTGGAACTGTGCTCAGTCCCAGTTAGTGTGAGTTAACCTCATCTTTCCTTCTGCAGCTGATGTCACCTTAAAATGCAGCGTGACAGTTGGGCTGTTCTGGCAGAAGAGAGGCAGCAACGCGCCCAGCACTTCAAACAGCACTTGGTATGGGGAAGCACATAATGATTCTGCAGGAGGGGAATAACAGTAGTTTGTTGTGATATCACAAATATGTTGTGATAGGGACAGAAAATTATCTTGGTTCCTGTGAGCTCTGAAGATCTGGGGGGGGCATAGCAGGGAAGGTGCAGTCAAGGAGTCACAGGAACAGGAAAACCATTAAGAGACAAACTCTTGGCATTCACCTGACAGCTGGGAAGGGGATTAAACAAGAGATAGCTGGGACTTTCCTTTTTTTCTCTATAAGAGAACAACAATCTTTGCATGCAGAGAAGACGTAGATGTAAATCTTAACTTCAAAAACTGTCCCATGTGTAACTCTTGTGTGCAAGCTTGCGGGAAAGGCCTCTGCTCTGAGGCACAGGGGTGATGGGAGCTCTGCTCCTGGGAAGCCATGTGCTCCCAGCAGGAGGACGGCCCGCCCTGTGTGCATGAGCCTGTCTGTGGTTTGGTTGCATCCAGCCCTTCTGTTTGTGGCTTGGATGACAGAACAAGAAAGGGAACTGATTAAATTCACAGCTGATACCATGTTGGAAGGGCTGTAAATGCACTGTAGGGAAGGATTAGAATTCAAAATGTTCATGACGAGCTGGAGAAACAGTAAGGGGTGGGGGAAACGAAATAAAAAGGAGATAACTCCTTTTTATAAAGGAGTTTATAAAAAGGACAAAGGTAAAATCCCATACTTGGCAAGAACAGCAACTGAAGTGATAAAAATGGAAGTGATTGCACAGGCAGCAGTTCTGCAGGAAAGGAGTGGGCAAAGAGCACATCACAATACAGACAGTAGCAGAGCCCAGGCAGCTCCAGAGCAGTGCAAGTGTCCAGAGTGCTGTGCTATGTGTGCTTTGATGGAGGATCTCAACATCTTTCCAGAAGTGCTGGTGGTCGAACGGGAGCACAGTCTGTGCATGGGCCTTCCTCACAGCAGCAAAACCCTCTCCAGGTTAATGCTATGCAGCAGAACCGATCAATGTCTAATGGAACAGGGAGTTAACGCAAACACTAATAATAACCTAAATGATCTAATAGTTGGGTTTTGCCTCTGCTTTTTAAATTATATTTATATTTTACATTCACGTGTGGAGATGAAATTCTGTTAAATTAGGCTGACAGAACCAGGAGTTTCTGAGCACCGCTTTTTCAGGATGCTTCCTCACGGCCCCTCTCTCATAACACGGCTTCTTCTCAAACTATTAGAGAGGAAGCATTTCCATGATTTTTCAAACTGGTGGTTGCAGGCTTGTTTGACAGTTGCATGATTCTTCTATTTTTTGTGAGAAACTAGTCCCCATAGTGAACAGTTTTGTTTCCCTTTTGTGTATTTATTTAACTTAATTTTTTATGAGTAATGCCCTGAAAAGCACATAGCTCTTTCACAAGGAGATTATAAATGGATGCTTATCTCAGGCACCAAACATCCCTTTAGAAAGAACCACCAGCTCAAGAAATGGGAATAAACAGGAAGAGAGCCTCAGCCAGCACCAGGCTGCATTGTGCCAGAACAAGGTTTTTCCCCGCTACCTCCTCTGGAAGATGTAAGGCTGCCTTGGCTGGCTGTCACTTTTACGGAGCATCGCCCTGCCATAAACTCACTGAGAGCAGAGCTGGTGCTGGGGAAACACGCAGGGCTGCTGCTTCCTACGAAGGGATGCTCCTCCACACAGCACTCCTTCACCACTTTTAACTCCGTGCGACACAAATCAAACCGAGTGAAGCCAAGCAGTGGTGTGCTGCAGCAGTGCCACCCCCAGAGCAGCCAGCCCCGAAGGGCACAGCAGGGACGGAGATCCTGGTGCACACTGGCAGCTGGTGTTTCTCCGGCCAGAAGCTGTTGGTTGGTTGGGACAATGAGGCCACTATTTGTCGCCTCTTTTCAAGCAGGAAACTAAAACATGAAGATGGGTACCAGTAGGCTTTAAGGACACACCTGCTTAGTGCTCAGCTACTGCCATCCTGCAGACCCAGAGTGAACATCAAACCACCCTGGCAATTGCATTTCTTGTATAGAGTGCATCTTTCTGGCAGCAGCCCACAGCCTCTCTTTCCTCTTGGTTCTGTGCATTTCTGCCCAGCCCTTCCTGTGCAGAGCATCAGAAAAGCCCTGCAGAGTGCAGCCAGGGCCCCTCAGGCTTTAAGGACAGAACCCCAGCTGGTGCACAACAGCACAAACACTGCAGAACTCAGCGTTACTGCCGGTAAGCAGCTACAATTCTGACCCCAGTTCCTATTTTAAAATGCCTTCCGTATGGACCTCTCCAGTGCAGAGGCTGCCAGGAATGGACTCAGGGCTGGGTGTGTGCTGTGCACTCTGAGGGAAAGACATCAGCTGTCCTGTTCCACAGATCAGGATCTGCAGACCAGGCCTGAGCAGCACGTTCAGTACCACAGTGCCCCAAGCAGAACTGAACCTGGTGTTTCCCTACTGACGATCCCATCAGATGTTCCTTTAGTGATACTCTCCCTCACACATGAAGTCTCACAAACAGCTAAGTATCCTGGATCTGACCTAGTGCACAGCACCCATAGGATCAATGCACGTTTTTACCATTCCAGCAGCAGACAGCCACACTCCTCTCCCACATAGCAGAAGACGTGAGCTGGCAAAAGATTTTTCTTCACCTTTTTCTTTACTCTTTTCTTATGCTGAGAACCATTCTGCATTTTTCCCAGCAGCTCCCCCCTCTCTCTCTATCTCCTCTCCTGTTGGCTGAGCCCTTGTTTTGGGCACAGCCCATGAGGCACAGGGCAGAGCTCTGCCCTGGAGCCCAGCTAGTTTCTCAGCTGGGGGATGGTGAAATGCAGCACGATGTGTGCCAGCTGGCTTCTGGGAAATGGCCCCCCTGCGCCCCCACTGACGTCTGCCGCCTCACCACTGCTTGGGAAACAGGGAGAAAACAGCTTCAGTGGGGCAGGGAACCGGGCAGACTGCAGCCCGTTGGCTTCAGAGATGTGCCTCAACGTCTGACAGGCTGAGTCCTGCCTTCCTGGCTTTAAACCCACTGAAACTTTGCTGTACATCCGCATGCTGGGCACTTTATGTTGCTAGAGGACCCGACTCAGTTTTGCCTAATGAAGAAATGGAAACACAAACCACTCATGACGACCAGTGCTACCAAAGCTCCCAGCCCTGCCCCGATGCTGCTCGCTGTACAGAAGGGCGCTCAGTTACACACTCCCATGGACACTGAAGGGAAAGTTGCTTTAACGCTCGGTAACTTTTTTTTCCTTGTGTTTTGGCCAGTTTCCTCCCCAGGCTCAGAGAGCAAGGACAAGCAGCTTAGCCTGCCCAAGACAAACTCTTGGTTCCCTCTGTCCCTCCCACAGCACAGCCGGTGACCCCTCCCCTGTGCGCCGTTACCCAACTCACAAACAACGCTCCCGCTCACATCGGCCTCACGCAGCTCCGGTTGTGTGCGATCCCACCTCCGCCACAAGGGAGTGGAGACGCAGGGCTGCTGCCGAGCAGTGCTGCAGGCAGGTAACCGCTCCTTGGTTGTTGCTTTTTGTTTGTCATGCTGAACTCCTAGCCAGCATGGAAGTAGGTGGACCAAAATGAGCCTCCTGGCAAGCGGTCTTGCTGGACTTTGTAATAGGAGAAAAGCCTCTGTACAAACTCAAAAACAGATTAAGCAATGCTTCCTATTACTTGGTTTCTGCAGGGAAAGAGAGGCAATTTTTAAAGTTAATATCTCGTGTAAAATACAGAATAACTGCTATTTTTGTAAGGCATGGCTGTCTATGTGTCTGTGTGTGCGTTTTGATTTGGTCTCCTTTCAACGTGTTGGCTAGATGTAGAAAGTAGCAGCCCACATGGACTTGCTCAGCTGCTCCGCTCTGTCGCAGCATGCTGCCCCCAGGCTGCAAAAAGCCCCTGACCCTTTCTGGCTCCTTGCAGGTTTTGCAGGCGCTCAGTTGCCAGGATGCTTCTGCTTCTTTCTCTGGTCACTGGACTGGCCCTGTCTGCCTCTGGTGTCGTGACAGAAACAGGAGCCGATCCAAGCTGCGCATCACTTCATGATGTACAGAGAAAAGTGAATGACCTCTGGCAGAGCTTGCTCTATCCGGTGATGGCTGATAATGAGACTGATGGGCTGACCTACGCCACCTGTGAAATGAAGCCCAGCTCCAAAATAGATGTTGACAAGCCACAAGTGACTGGACAAGTCTTATTCAGACAGCATTACTCACAAGGAAGATTAGAAGCCATTTTTCACTTGGATGGGTTTCCGCTAGATAACAACCAGTCTGGCAGAGCTATACACATCCACGAGCTCGGAGATCTCAGCAACGGCTGCGACTCCACAGGAGGACACTACAACCCCTTCAGAGTCAACCACCCCCGCCACCCGGGGGACTTCGGCAACTTTTCTCCTAAAGATGGCAAAATCAGAAAATACAAATCCAATCTCTTCGCCACGATGTTCGGTCCGTACTCCATCCTGGGCAGATCCGTTGTGATCCACGAGCAGGAAGACGACATGGGTAAGGGCAATAACAAGGCCAGTCTGGAAAATGGAAATGCTGGCAAACGTCTGGCGTGCTGCGTGATTGGGATCTGCAACAAGAACTTGTGGGAGGAGAAACAGTTTGAGGCCACAGACAAGAAGAAGAGATGGCTCCGAACCAGGCTCAGCTGAGGACCTGCAGTCGAGCTGCCACCCAAGCATCAAGTACCTTAGGATGCACCGTTGGCCGCTTAGGTGGCAAAGGGATTCCCATTTCCATTCTCTTGCTTCTCTGAGAAATGTATATCTCTTTGTAGAGCCACCTTTCTGTAAGCTGATCAATAAATACAGCATCAACTCAACACTGTGATATATTTTCTTGAAGATAGAAGGTTCCCTTTTATGCAGTTTGGGAGTTGAATGCATGTAAGTAAGAGTGCTAAGATGAATGGCCAATAAAGAGGCTGCGCATCACAAGGGGCCATAAGTTAGATACAAAAGAAAAAAATAGATATGAGTAAGGGGAGAAATTGCCTCTGATTAGATGCTATCCCTTATTTAGCTGCAAACCTGAGGGTAAAAAGATCTCTGCTTTCAACAGCTTTGGATGTTATGCTGTAAGACTTTGGTAATGGACATTTCGATGTTAAGCTTTGGGTCCATGATGTTATCCTACTTGGATTTCCAAGTTTTACTCTCAAACATATCTAAGCTTCTCAAATGGCTGTTTACACACAACTATAGTTGAGTCACAGTATTTACAGCAGAAAGCAGACTTAAATATTCCAGCTTTCCAGAACCCCCCAGCAAAAACTCCTGAGAGCCTCCAGTTTGTGACTAGAGGCAATGCAACCCCATAATGGGTTGCATTCAAGCTTTAATACTGCTTAGATGAGGACAATAAAAACGATGATAAAATAAGAACAGCAGAAATTAGTACTATTACTTTCAAAACCAAAAAAATACCGAGTGCATATCTTCACACAAAAAACTGGGAAGTTAATCAGCCAAATGGGACTGGGAGAAGTCACAGTTGAAAACATGTAAGTCAGATAATGTTCAACAAACTTAGCAGTCTCACTCAATAAAGCTTTACTTTTCTCATTTTTAACAGCTGAAAATACTACGATACTAATTCATGACTATCGTTCATCTGATACTGAGAGGAGGAAATATGCAGGTAGAACAAACGTATCAGGAAATGTATGCTTTTATTCAAGATGACAAAATATATTAATAGAGTTGAACTATGTTGCACAGTTAATCCAGGCAGCGACAAAAGAAGGGTTTGCAAATAAATTATACCATGTCATTTAAGAAGTAAAACTACAAAACAGGGGCTGGTAAACAAAACTCTATCTTTTAGAAACGTAGCCGACTTTCAACTTCATCTCAGTTAAGATTTCAAAATACATTCCTGAGCTCATATGGATTAAAGAAATTCCGCTGTCTTTATTATACAAATTACTGTACGCTAAAAATAGTCTCACTTAGAAAAGAGGCAACGTTCTAAATGATGCCTCTTAGCCTGTCGTTTTCACAGAATTATTTTACAAATTCACTGAGTGTTCTTTTTCAAATAACCACAACAGTTTTTTCAGATGAAATCCTTCTCATAGATAATGCATGAATTTGCTCACAGGTGAGGCAATGTGCTTCAAATCAATTTATGGAATGCATCCTCTCCAGCTCCTTGCTACAACGCTCCCCTTTGCAGTTTACTTCCCCAGAGCTCAACAGCAAAAGGTTTTACACCTAGATGTGATTTCTCCATTTCTGAAGTCCTAGAAAGAGGGAACAAGTCTAAAAGAGACTCAACAAAATAGTGCTGATTCTACAACAAAACAGGAATGGATTTAAAACAAAACAAAACTAACAAAACAAAACAAAAAAAACCCCCACATAATTCTAACAGCACAAGAGCATCACTTGAAACAATACCTAAGACAGTTACTGACAAAACTAGTCAATGTGAGATCACAGAGAGGAGTCCTGCTCTTACAGCTGCCCCAGTATTGAAGCCTTGTGCTCCTGGGAGCAGGCTAAAAGCACAGCCAGAGTACCCATTCACAGGGCAGGATGGATGGGAGCAGCATTGCAGCAGTGAGATGGCACTCTAAATGTGCTCTCCAGAATCCAGATCTCTCTCTGCAGTTTAACGACTGAGGGCTAATGAAGTGAGGATCGTTACCAAGATGACCTAATTGCAGGGCTGTACACCCGTTTTCTTCTCTCAGGAAAACCACACTAAAAGAATCAATGAGTGAGGCGCTGAAAAGCTGCTGCTGGTCCACAGCTACTTCCACCTGCTCTGATTTCTGCACTAAGCCTTTCATCAATTAATAGCATTAACTGGCTGTTGAGGGACAAGGAGCAAACGTCAGCTCACACAGCTGTGGGTCAGAAAAGATAGAAGACAAGGAAACAAAGGCCAAAACTAACCCTGAAAATTTCAGAGCTCAGCTATGTGAAATCCTGCCCTTTTTACTGGCTTGCATCAGTTCTGACTGCATTGATATTTAGCTCTGCATAGGATTACTCTGTGAAAGATGGAAAAGAATGCATCTCAAATAAAGTGATACCCAATGTAACATTCAAGCATTAAAGGAAAAAAATCTGCCACATTCTCCTGGAGATCTCAGTTTCTGCAGCTATTTCTCTTCTGACTTGTCAGTACTGCCATATAAATGAGTCAATAGCGCAGTCAGTTCCAATTAATGGGAACAGCAAAACAATCTTTCAAATGCTTAAACTCTTCTTGGCTTTCAGGTGATGAGGAACTTAAATTGTCATCAGGATAATGAAAGAAAAACTTTTTACTGCTTCATGTTCCTAACGCACTTAAATATACAGCTGTTTTTTCCCTAAGGGCTGCTGCTTAGCATCAGCAAAATGCTGCAATGTCAAATTACCTTTAAAGAGAAAGGAAACCTATTTGAGGAGCACTGACTACAGCTTTATTGCCTGCACAGACAAAGAAAGGGTTACCCGGCTGCACCTGGTAGGAAAAGCACAGGACAACAGTGACAAGCCACATTTTTTACCTTCTCCCTATCATTCCTTATATTTGTATGTAATCATTTACATACAGCCCTTCTTCTGCTGAATACAAATTGCTCATGGACTCTGCCACCTTGATTATAGCAGCACCTGCTAGCTCAGTTTCCATATACAGAAGAGTTTGTCAGTATCGCTAATATAAACTCTGTTTATTCAGTAGCTGACAAGTGGGCTGTAAAAATTTGCAGCTGGCAGTTATTTGTCAAAGGAGAACTCAATCTGGGAGAGATTTTCCTTTTTATTAGTAGTATTTTATTAAATTTGGTTTAATTCTCTCTGATTGGTTTCAAGTTCTAGGAGTGAGAAATGAACATTTACAGACAATTAGGTCCCAAGCCAGCAGAAAAATTGCCTTGACGGCTGCTGGCCCATAGAAGCTCCACAGCTGCAGAGACTGTTCCTTATGCTACAAGCAGGAGAGGAAGGACGTGCCTCCCCTTCTCCAACAGCTGCTAACTTCACCGTTAAGTATTCCCTTGTTGCTGCCCTCCTTGGAGCAGAGTGGCACAGCTCCAGCATCAGGAGTGTGCTGGGGAATGACACAGCAGCCTCCCTCTCCCAAGTTATTACAGGAATGTTTTCTTATGACTGAATATCAACACAGATAGAAGTTAGACAGCAACAACACAAATAAACCTACTACTACACCAAAGACTGGTGAAGTGAGGAGGAAACAAACATTTGAAAAATGTCTGTTTTCTAAAACATTAGAAAACAAACAAACACAGATTTGGAAAGGAGGGCATGTAAGAAAGAGGCTAAAATCTACCACCCGCTTCTCAAGGGTGTTCCAGCTCCTGAGGGATGCAATTCTGGAAATATAGAATGTGAAGGAGGAGGACAAGGCATCAATGGTTCTTTTCTTGCTGCTCCCTTAGCTTTGGAACAGTACTGCTGTTTCTCACTGAAAGACTTCCTTCCAGATGATACTTCCTTCAGAGCATCATTAATTCACATT